CCCCCATCGCCCAGGAGCGGGGCTCTGCTTTATAATGGTCTGAAAAACAACATTTTCTGATAGTTTTAATGCCGAGGGGTGCGTGGCCCCAGTGGGGCAGGACCACTGGCATCCCCAAAAAAGCTGGCCAAGGTACCAACGAGTTTCCCGGCTCCCCTTAAAGCCTGGGGTAGGTCTCTGCCATGCTGCTTTTACCTGCTGTGGTCAAACAGAGCAACCGCTTAGAAAAGCAGCGTCTCCCTCGGCTGCCCGGCTTGCTTGGGTACCGACGGTGCTTGGCATGGACCTGACACCTTTCTGCTGGAGCAGCCCTTTTCCTCGCTGGGTGGCAAGCGCAGAGTCCTGGGGCTCCGACCGAAGCAAGAGCATGGTGCCAGGATGGTCCCAAAGGACACGCGTTGCTTGTCATCCTTCAAAATAGGTCTTGTCACACCGGCGGTGCTTCCCACCGACTGAGGGGTCACCCTGGTTTCTTTCACAAAATGAATTCAGAGGCTCCATGTGCTAAGTCTTGCGACGTAACTCACTGCAGTCGTTTGGCTTTGAAGGCCCTACAAAGCATGCCCATTTAAAACCGAGCTAGGTAAGAAAGCAGCGTGTGTTACAATGCTTGAAAGATACCCAGAGTAAAAACCATGCAGAATAATTCTGCTTTTATGGGAAAATGACAACCATCATGAGCTGAGGGGTGGAGTAGAGCTGTCTAAGCATCGTGCACTAGCCCTCTGAAGTAGTCTGAGGGTGGATTGGTGACAGGGCAGTTTCTGGTGTTTGTTAAGTAGGGCTGATCCCCTGTGCTTTTAGGATACTACACCCGACGAACTGCTGTCTGCTGTTATGACAGCTGTCCTTCAAGATGTCAATCTTCGTCCTGAGGTCCTGGGAGACATCTGCGTTGGTGAGTGAACAACCTCCGTCCGGACTTGAAACTCCTGGTCTGGATAGCTCTCTGGGACAGGCTGCTCCTGGTGTCCCATGGGATACGTGCCAGTATCGCGGGGTTGGAAGGGGTTAGTGTGTAGCGTTAGGTTTATGAAATCAGCGCGTCCTTCACGACTGTTCTGTCAAGTGGTGGGGCTCTGATCTGGGTGCCGGATGGTACCGAGATGTTAATGTCCCTTCGATGTCTGCAGCAAATAGTGAGGGAAGTACAACCGATTGACTGGAATCGTATCTTTGCACTCAGGAAACGTGCTGCAGCCTGGAGCTGGTGCTTTGATTGCAAGAGTTGCACAGTTTCTAAGGTAAACTCTCAACCAAATTGAGATTCCTCCTGCCCTTCTCAGGCCTTGGCTACGGAGCAGCACTGGGTCAGAGGTTGCAATGAGGCTGGTGCGCTCCTAAGAAGTTACACCAAATCACCTTTTGCCTAGAAATTAGACTTTGGTTGAGTGTTTGGAGAACCCTGCTGCTAAAGGACAGGCAGGCAGAGGTGAGGCCGATTAATCTCTTTGTGCCACCTGTGTTGAGCCCCTGAATGGGAGATCTTGTTTTGTGGGCTCCCAGCTGTACCTGCTGCTTCTCCGTACTGCAAGGCTGCACTTCTCTCTGCTCTGTGTGGGCCTGAAACCATGGAGTTGTCTCAGGTCTTTCTGTTCATTTCCCAGTGTTGCGGTTGATGGCTCATATTGAGCTGGATCCCAGCTTCCAAATATTTCGGCCAGTGTCTATTGCCAAGTGATGTTTGCTTCTGTAAATCAGTGTACAACCACCACTTTGGAGGGGTGCAGACACAGCCTACCAGAAATTGTGAATATTGCAGAGCTTTTCAGTATTTCTGGCCCCAGTCAGGGCTCAGGAACTAGGCACGTGAGAGGGCCTTGCTTACAGAGGACCTTCTGAAGACAGACCTGTGGGAGAACAGCACTTAGAGCCACTTGCAAATCAAGTTTGGAAATTATGTATGAACTTTGCTTTCTCTTGGTGCAGGACCGAATAGGTCAACAAATGAATAAAGGGATCTGTCTCGGGGGTTAAATTTTAATCAAGTGGCTTAATGCTCTCTTTAGTGGTTTGGTTTGTTGCATGGTTTTCGTCACTGAGTCTTTGCCAACACCGTCTTTATTTTCTAGTGGTATTCCAGAGACGGTGCCGTGCTCGAGCGTGAACCGGCAGTGCTCCTCCGGGCTACAGGCCATTATCAATATAGCTGGTAAGTGTTATGGGCACTCGGATCGGAGTCAACGCCTGCCCCACCCCAAGTGCTCATTTCTTCTGTCCTCAAATCTCTCTGAGCAGTGAAAATAGTGATAATGTTTTCTGCTGTTAGGAATTTTCGGTGTGGTGTTGGTTGAATGCTTTGTATCCTTGAGTGGCCAAGTTTACCCCTAGAGAAGTAGCTTGGTTTTCTGAGGATGAGTTCTACCATCGCTTCCACATCAGGCAGCTTCTAGAAGGGTCCCTCCTGTCCTCTCTGGTTGCACATCAGGTCATGGGTTAGTCTTCAGCCCCATCAGCTCCTTGACCTGGCTCATGTTCTGGAAGGTGGGAGGGCGGCGGGAATGCACCTTTTAGCTGTGCTGGGTGCCTCAGGTGTTCATGAAACCACAGCTGGAGTGGAAGTGCTTTTGCTCCTAATGACAGTAAGAATATTTATGCACTGCTGTTACAGGTGGCATCCGAAATGGATCGTATGACATTGGCTTGGCCTGTGGGTAAGAATGGCTTTTTATGGCACTTGCTTAGGCTGCCTGAAAGTAGCACTCAGTCCCTCTCCAATAGCTCTTGTGTGAGGAATTGGAAATCTCTTCCAACCAGATCTGTCTCCCCCAAGGAAATAGATGCTGTCCTCGTTTGACAAATGGGTGAATAAACTCTAAAATTAGGACCTGGATTTAAGTGGTGGCTGTAGATGCAATTTGTGTATTTCCAGAGGCTGCTGAGTGCTTTTGCAGAAGATTGGGCCATCTTAAAAGGGTCTGAGAGAGGGTGCTTGAAAATCCTTTAATTCCCCTGGAAGTTTTGGTCTTGGTGACGTGCCTGCTGGGGTTGCAGTAAGAGGCTGAGTATCTCTTACAAGCATGCAAAAAGCCTGTTTTATTAGGGTCCTCTGGCTCTGCTGGAGGATACCACTTGTGTGCAGAGCTCTGACAGCCTGAAAGAGCCTGCCGTGATTAGCTTTTTAACTAATCTCCAATTAACTGGTGTCTTAGAATACCAGCAGCTATCTTGGATAAAGAAATTAATGCCCTACCCAGGCTAATAACTGTTTTGCAGACTTACAGGAGATGTTCTTCTGCAGTGGACAGGCATGCTGTTCTTTGCTTCTGTCCTAACATCATAAGAAGTGTTTATTTTTTAGGGGATTGTGTAAATGTTAAGTTGGCTTTAGAGAAATACTAGTGACCACATACACATTTACTTCAGAAGAACAAATAACAAAGTATTCAGTAATCCTGAGGCTAAAATACGAGGTTTCTCTTTCTTTACCTTGGTAACTCTTAAGTCCTTCTTGAATTATTACTGTACACAGTCATCTGGTAGCCCTTAAGAAAATATTTATATTTACAACTTCTCAACACCTGCACGTACTCGGTTGAGCAAGATCTGATGCTGAGCACACCCTTCTTAGACTGCTGCGAAAGAAACAACTCGGCAAGACAGGCACGTTCCCCTGATGCAGGCTGAGCCCTTGGTGTTCACGGGGGATGCTTCCGCTTGAACGCGTGATGCTTTTCACTCGTTCGCTTTAACGCAGTTGTTTTGAGAAGTTGCTTGGCAGCGTCCACCAAAATGATACGCTTTAAGGTACTGAAAGGGTTTGAGATCCAGCCTTTGTACCTTTGGGTATGCAAGCCACCGCCTTTCACTGTGGGAAGATTTCTGGCCTCTCCCCTGCAGGGTCCTCCATGAAGACATAAAACCCATATGTTACAAATAGTTTTTGTGAGTTGGGTTTATCCCAAGTCATGCTCTTCCCCTGAGTGGACTCGCCCACTCTGTAGGTGGAGAGATACTGGATGACAACACAAAACGCAGTAGCTGTGGTTTGCTCTTACTTAAAACCTGATTCTCTACCTTCCTTCAGGGAGTAGATGCAGTTGAAGTCAAGTAATGCAGCGTCCTGTATTAGAGTTCGTTCAAATTCCTGATAGCGCTTGCTATAAGCTGCTTGGGGAAAAGCTGTATTTTCTGCTTGTCTCGCAATTTCCAGGAATAGGTTTTTTTTGTTATTTACTCTTCATGAGTGTATTTGCGTGGTGCAGAGTAGAATTCAAACCCGCTTCCCACCATAGGCTTCGTGGTCTAGACTGACTTTACAAAAACTCACTAGTCTTAAGTGATGGCTGTGTATTTATGCAGTCAAATTGGATATCTTCAATCAGTTAACTCATTTCTAGGTGAAAGACTGCAGCCTCTGGGGTCCATGTCTTAAATTCTTTGTGTTGCGAAATTCAAATGGCATAATGGTTTGCTTAATACTTAACTACACTGCCAACCAGTTCTTAAGCTGTAAGTGGCATTTTTATGGCTGTTGACGATCTCGCTGCAAACTCCAGTCCTAGGACCTTAGGTTTCTCGTTATGTTTGAGGACAAAAGTGCCAGAATCATTAGCGATTCTTTCCTAGCTGTGGAAACAAAAGAAATTAACTGTTGACATTGGTATCCTGTTCTTAGTGAAACAAGGACAAATTTAATCTAGCAATCTGTTTCCATTTCATGGTGATTCTTACATTGATGATTGAAGAGCTTCTGCCTCAGCCGGTTCTTAATTATTAGCTGCGTTTCTGTAGGGTGATAGGAAAGCATGTTGTCAAGATGCTGAGTTTTGATCAGTCTTAACTGAGCAATTACCACAAATATAGTATGAAAGCACTGGTAGCAAATCCAAATTTTTCTTGTGTTTAGCGTGGAAACGATGTCCCTCAGAAATGCAAATAACCCTGGTGATATCAGTTCCAGTATGATGGAAAACAGCAAAGCTCGAGATTGCCTTATTCCTATGGGGTAAGTGTTTCCTCTTCCCAAAGTTTAAGGGTTTTCTAGATGGTCTGTCTCCTCAGTGACTGGACTGAAATCAATCTGAATCCAGTGAGCTTGGATCTGTATGTGTCGGCATCCTCCTTGGCTGTGGTAGAAGGTTAATTATGTGAAATGAGGGGGAAGATCAACGACTCTGATGAAAGATTTCCTTGTCTTTTGTCTTAAGCCCAATGGCTTAATGAGCAATGAAAGTGGATTTGAGCCTTGTTTTGGTCCTAGATTTGATTCAGGATTTGTTTCTGCCCAGCAGTTCTAGGTTGAGAAGGCAGCAGTTAGCTTTGAGACTAAAGCCAGTGCTTGTACCTTGTGTTGTCTTAGTGGAAGCCAACTGCAGCTCCATTAGATGAGTTGTTGGATTAATTCTGTGATGTTGTTTTCCCCAGAATAACCTCAGAAAACGTGGCAGAGAAGTTTGGAGTTTCCCGAAAGAAGCAAGATGCCTTTGCCTTGGCTTCCCAACAAAAGTAAATTACTTTTTTTTTTTTTTTTAAAAAACCTTTTAGTTAAGGAATAAATAGAGGTAGAAAACGCATTGCTACTTCCCAAGAGTGGTTAAGTGCAGCCTTTGTGTTGCCTTCGAAACCTTAATATTGAGTAAAGAAGCTTGAGATGGTCAGAGCGAAGACCAGTGCATGTCATGGGTTGTGTGATAAGGAAACCCGAGTCCAGAGCTGTAGTGGGGATTGTGTGACCGATCTTGCGCACATATCACCGGGCATGCGAGCCTTGAGCAGTGAGTGCCCCTGTGTTTATCAGCATCCAAAGGATGCAACCTCCATGAGGTTTCTGAAACGAATGTGTGGGTCAATATTTTCATAGTGGCTTTGGCTCACTATCGTTTGAAACTGGACGTGGGAGTGGCAGCAGAAGGAACCTTTCCCAAGAGGGAATATTTAAATGTAGCTGTTTCTAGAGAACTGCCGAGCTTATGGGAAGAGTGGCTTGTCTTTGCTGCAGGTGTTTGGCTCCAAGTGAGTCCAGTCCTACCTCTAATAACCTTCCTCTTAGGTTAAATCACTGCCAAAGTAAACTGACCCCTGGAATCCATGGGGCTGTACTGGCAGTCCAGTGGCAGGCGATAACGTTAAAGTTGCTGCTGTCAAAGAGTTAAACTAAATTTCAGAGCTCTGTTTAAGCATCGCCCCGGTCCAATTATTTATCTAATACAGGAAGCCACTGCACAGGCCAGTTAACCTTTAAATTCTGGCCCGGCTTCTAGGGAACTTGGCATGCCAGCCTTTCTCACTGACATTGAACTGATAACGCAAAAGGGTATGTGAACGCGATCCTCGCCTCTCGCATGAGGAAAGGGGTGATTTTCTGGCCTCGGTCTCAGGATGTCTGCGGAGTTACTGATCTGTCCTTCAGCACTTCGCCCTAACTCTCGCTTACCTGGAAGTATTTAAATATTTTCATTTTATTAGTAAAAGTATAAAGTGATGAGGGAGTAAAACAAGCTTTCAGTCATCCAATTTGTATTCCCTGTAAAGGGTGCTCTGCTGCTGGAAGGTAAATCTTCTATATCAGCTCTACTGTGGAGGCTTTTAAATACCTTGTTCATATGAAAGATTAAAACTGTGTGACCTGAGCTAATTCTAATGTAGCTAATTGCATTCTGCCTACTTATGTCAGTCCGGTCATGTCAGTTGTTCCCTACTGCTAATGCTGCTGTCTCAGGGACCAGACCCTATCTTTGCTGCACCTTTACTGCTAAATTAAGTGATACCCTTCTACGTAGTCACACTGAACTATGCAACATGAATTGTGATCATCTTGGGTTGAAAGGTTACATTTAAATGCCGGAAGATTATACCTGAAGTCTGTGGTCTAAAGCTCAACTTGTCTTTAGTAGGACAAAACCAGGAATGAGTGAAACTTTAGCCATTCCTTAACTTGCCAGAAATTACTAGCATTATGCAGAGGCTTAGCCCGCTTGCCCTGTTTAAACTCAGAAATAAGAATTGATGTTTAAACATCAGGATTCAGTTACTTTCTTACAGTTGTGATGTGACTGTACCACTGGACAAGCACAGGTTCATGCTGTGGGCCGGTGGTAGTCAGTCAGTCACAAAGACGTTGGTGGGAACGGAACAGGGATCTTGCTCAGAAGTGTGTGAACCTGTGACCCAGGTTTTGGGGAGAATGCCCATAATGTTAGCGATAAATTTCCCGTGACGAAGAGGTGAGAAGTTTGTCATCCCGTGAATGGAAATAAGTATTCGCCTGTCTTCTTGTCCGCTACTCAGCGATGATGTACCTGTGTGTACCAAGTCATACCTTAGTTCATTCTCTTGCTAAGCGGTTTCCTTGTCATTAGTTCTTTTGCAATTCTCCTCCAGAACATTTTAACCTTTCATACTCTTCTTTAACAGAGCAGCAAAAGCTCAGCAGATGGGACTGTTTAAAACTGAGATTGTTCCAGTGAAGACCACTGTTCTAGATAATCAGGGCAACCAAAAAACAATCACCGTGCACCAAGACGAAGGGATTAGGCCCTCCACAACCCTGGAAGGCTTGGCAAAGCTGAAGCCTGCCTTCAAAGAGGATGGTAGCACTACAGCAGGTCAGCTCTGTTGTTAAATTTGTCTTGTTCCTGTGGTTTACTTGCCTTGTAATAGAATGTGCTCAGACAAAAAAGGTGTTAATAGATCTCTTCCAACAGGTAATGCCAGCCAGGTCAGTGATGGAGCGGCTGCTGTTCTCCTGGCAAAACGCTCAAAAGCAGCGCAACTGGGACTCCCAGTCCTGGGGGTGCTCAGGTCCTTTGCTGTGGTCGGAGTCCCACCCGATGTTATGGGCATAGGACCAGCCTACGCAATCCCTGTAGCTGTGGAGAAGGCGGGTAAGAACCACTTGTCACTCATACAGTGTTTGGCACAAGGCAAATCAGACTCTGTGGACTGAAATTTAAGATTATATTATTCTAGCCTGTGCGGCTATCAGCCATAGGAACAGTGAACTTGAATTTAAAACCTTAAAAGAGATCCCAGCTGGGATTATTGTAATACCGTTCACTTGTACTTATGTATAAATTGTCACGCACTCACCTTTGAGAAGCTCAGGATTAGATCCCTGCACAGTCTCAACAAACAGTTAACATGTGGCAAGTGATTCAGTGTTCATTTAGTGCTGTTTTCCTTAATGTGACCAGCGTGTGTGTGGGGGTGTGTGTGTGTGTTTGGTTTTGGGGTTTTTTTTCCTTACAATTTTGGCATCTGAGCAGTGGAACAGGCTTTCCTCAGGGTTCTTACCATACTCATCAGGTTAAATAGCTTTTATAGCTGACGATTATTGTTGTGTCCACCTGCCATTGCTATGGTCACATGCTCACCTGTAGTTTTATCTTTCAATCTCGAAATACCCTTCAATCTTTAATCCCTCTGCAAAGGAATCACATCTAATCTAAGGAAGCTTGGCCAGCTCAGTGTCACGATACCATAAACTGTGATGTTTTGCAGCCTTTAGACATTGTTGTCCATAAACATGCGTACAAGTGTAGATACCCCACATGGAGCCAAGGTCTCTCTCTCTTTGTCATTAGTGGAGTAGAACTAGAATTCATAAAGGGGAGCTGTGAGTGAATTACTCTTTGATATAGTCATAAGGCAAAAATATCTCCTTTTAAATCCTGACTTTTCTGAACCATAGGTCTGACTCTGAATGACGTTGATATATATGAAATTAATGAAGCCTTTGCAAGCCAGGTGAGTGATCGTCACGTTTGAGTTGCTACATTGCTTGGTAGCTGAGTGTATTTCAGCTTGGTCTCAAAATAAAGATTTGAACTTGCTCCACTTAGGACATCTTCAGCCAAATGTTAATAACACGTACAGACTGTTTTCCCTTTCCTTCAAATAAAAATAAGCTTATACAGCTTAATATTTAAAAAAAAAAAAAGAAAACAACAGAAAAACGTGTCCAGCGAATAAGAATGTAATCATTACTATTGTATCCTCATACCAGCTTGCAAAATTTCTGTTTCACAAGGGCTGTCATTTGTTATCGGGTGGTGTCAGTGTGAATGTGTTGCATTCACCGATTTGGCGGTCCTTAATGAAAGGTAGAAACTTCACTACTGCGTCTTCCACAAATCTGTGACATGCCTGTCAGAAAGTACCTGGGCTCAGTTTGAGATGGAGTTTGGTAGGCTTAGCTCACCCTGTGTGCTTTGGATTTGTAACGTAGTTCCACTCCTTCCCACTGGGAAAGATGGTCTAGCTGGAGTCAGGCCTCTAAGTACTAACTGTTCAATACAACAGCAGCAGCTGACACAATGATGTGGAGTTTGTGTAATAACAAACATAGTTTGAACTAAATTCATTTTAAGCGCAAATCTTTTGAAGCCCCTAGAGCTACCGAGGATGGTTTGCTGTCCCTCTTTACATATGGACAAGATCACCAGTCTTCTCCGCAGTCCTCTTAGCTCTCTATTCCAGGAGAGCTGAGAACTAACGGAGGCGAGAGCATCTCCGTGAAAACATTCCCTCTGTCTTTCTAGGCTGTGTACTGTGTTGAAAAGCTGGGCATTCCCATGGAGAAGGTCAACCCCCTGGGAGGAGCGATAGCACTGGGGCACCCACTGGGCTGTACTGGTGCTCGTCAAGTTGTCACTTTGCTCAATGAATTGAAGCGCAGAGGGAAAAGGTGAGCACTGAGGAACAGTATTAGCCTTAATGCCTTAAATGTATGACAGTAACTTAGGCTCAGAAGTAACCATCGGTTTGGGTTAAGCTTTTTCCATCCCTTCGATAGCTTTGAACGTGAATTCCCGATGGCTCTCTTTAGGGAGGGCTGTGTAATGTCTTGCTGCACATGAATGCAGAGTCTCTCCTGGTCCGTGGTAGTGCAGGGCCCTGGAGTAGACATCTCTACCATGCAGAGTTAGAGCAGCGAGTCAGCGGGTTTTGTGACAGTTTGGTCCCAGGACTCGGGCTCCTCCTGACGTGTGAAAGAAACCTGGTAGCTGCTGCTGGCTGGCTCTGTCACTGCTCCCTTGGGGCTGGCGCAGAGCAGTCACTGGACTGCACCTTAGGATGAGCTGTGCTCTGGCCTAGAGGGGAGGGTAACGGTGATGGTGAGCTGTTCGATGCCAAGCAAATCAGACAGTAATAATAAACCACCTAAAACTGAAGTGGAAGAACTTGCTCTGAAGTCAGGCTTTCCACTTTGTTTTTCCACAGATCCTACTGCACACCATCCGACTATCCAAATTTACCTTGAACTTTTACGTAGCAAAGCCAGGTGAAGGGCAGTGGTAGGAGGCAGGAAAGGAAGAGTTTCTTCCTCAGCCCGTCTGAATCAAAGCAGTTCTCCTAGCTCGACCTCACTGCTAGTGTGTCTGAGGCAGGTGGCTAAGGAGCTTGCTTCTGGCGCGCTGCTCCTGTCCAGAAAGCAGGCAGAGAAATGACGTGTGTCCACGTGCTCTGCAAACCCCACCCTGCAAGAACTCCAGGGCATCAGGACCAGAGTTAGAATCTCTTGGTGACACAGGAGAGCAGTGGGTAGCTCAAATTTATAGTATTCTTTTTTTCCCCAGGTGATCTAAACCCGATCTGTCTTAATTCCATGTGTTCCTTCGTTTCAGAGCATACGGTGTTGTATCAATGTGCATTGGAACTGGCATGGGCGCTGCAGCGGTATTTGAGTACCCAGGGAACTAAACTCCAGCATACTGATGAAACAACACAACAGCTAATTCTCTGCCTTCTCTAGTAATAGCAAATGATTTGCACTGTGAAATCAAGTGGATTCAGGGATTCGTTACTAGATCTACAAATTCTAGGCACAAATTGCGAAGTAGAATAAATCATACAGATCTACTAAGGAGGTGGGAAAATGCAAAACTGGCAAATGGCATCCTGACACGAGAAGAGAAATTCAGTTCAGCTGAAGTTCAACTACAGGCCCTTGTGTGGTGATTATGAATTAATATTTCTAATCTAATTGATCCCTGTATTCTGTGAATATTATCAGAAGTCATTCATGGTACAGTATTTTTGTATGACAAATTGTCTAAAACGGTTGCTCAAAATGAAAACAACTGGTGCACATGAAAAGGCTTTTCCAGGGTTTTCTTAAAAGATTTCACCATCTTGCAAGAAGTCTAGAACAGCTTGTTTTGAAAGCGGTGCAAAGGCTTAACGTCACTTCCCTTACAACTCCGTCTGTCCTATCCCAGTCCTAAGTTGGCTATGCCTTAAATTGTCCCTGTGCTGGAGGATGTGCTTTGGCTCTCCACGTTTAACCAAGCTGCTCCGAAGCCTCCAGTGGGGGCAAGTGGGAGGACTAGAATGTAATTTACACAGGAGCAAACAAACTGTTGAGGTGCCTGAATAGAAAGGTTTTGATGATTTGCTAGAAGCCAGGAATTTGAAGGTGGCCATTCCATCTTTTACAGCACATTTCTAATTATCAGCTTGTGTGACTCTAACTTAGAGGACAAGCTTATGCTTAATAATATTTACTTACCTGACACAAAACAGATTTCAGCATTACTCTTCCTGCAAGCACTGCATGAACGTCAGCAAAATACATGTTTTGTCTTGTAAAGTTCTCCCTTTTCTGTTCTTCCTCTTATGAGCAGAAAGATCACTGAAACTCAGAGCTAATGGCTTGAAAAAGAAATGTACTCATCGCCTTTGACATGTCAGAAATGTTTAAATTCGTAATGCAGACTGAAGTTCTTTGTCCTGGCCCTTGTTTTTGCACTTAATAATACAGTTGGGTTCTTGCAATATATTTGTGTTCTTTTTGTGGTGATTGTTAGTTGAAGGTCACAATTAGCTAGAGCTGTTTGATGTTCTCACATTCCTGTGCTGTAGCCTGGCTCACGCACCCAGCAATCACGCATGCTGAATTTTAGAGCAAAAAAGATTAAATTATTTAGAGGCGGCAGAGAGGCATTAGCATCTTCAAGGGTCCTTTTTGCACACTGAGGTTGCTGTGTATAAAATGAATTCTCCTTGCTAGTACAAGTCTGTTTTAAACCAGGCAGGAGGCAGCTATTGTGCATCTTTTGTTCTCCTCCAGTGTGGATTGCAGCTCCCTCCTCCCCCCACTTGCTGCCTTTAACAAAAACCTTTTATATGATGGGAGTGGAAAACTTAACAGGCTCAGAAGTGGGAATTTCAGTGACCTTTAGCTAAAGTAATACTAAAAACATTTAAAGAGAAGTGTGAGTAAATGGGAACCATGTGGGGGGAAAGAATTAAAAGGAAGAAGGGTTCCTCCCTGTGTAGCTGAAGGGGATATGCTCAATACCCAAGCACGATGAAACATGCAGGTTGGTCATTTTCCAAGGAGTCCAGGGAAAGTTGGCTCTTCCCCTTTTCACGTAAGGCACCGAGAAAACAGCCAGGGGAATGCTGGCCTGTTCCCTAATTCTTGCTTTTATTATGTGTCAATGTCCCTTTTAACGTCAAACAAGTAAACAGGGCAAAACAAAAGCTGTTTTTTTAAGGCACGAACAGTCTTTAATTGTGATTTGAGGCATACGGTGATATGCAAAGGGGTTTGGCCTAACTGTTACCATAGCTGCTTTGCAATTTAAAACAGATTATTTTGCAGAGCCTGGTTCTGCGGGTAATGGTAAACTTATCACAGCAATAAAAGTAATAGCACAGAATGAGATTATGACTCTCTTCTTTAAAGTACCATGAGCTTTTTTTCCTTCCTCATAACTTAAAATTTTGTTCTGCTAAAATTCCAGTCCATATTAAAACAGCTGAAGTAGATGAAAATACAGGCTCAACTGATGGCACATCTGCATCCAACCCATTACCTTGACATGTCCCATGTTGTCTTGCTTAAATTAAACGCAGGTCTTCATACTTCCCATCATATGTTCCTCGTCCCCTGACCTGTAGCTTGCAAGGCTTCTCTCCCAGCATTCCAGTAATGGTCACAATAGCTTCATATTCAATGTCGCTCCTAAAATGCAGAGCAAAAAGACAGTTCAGTTACAGCTAGACACAATTCTGTGTTTAAGGATGAGATTAGTTACTTTGTGGAGGAAAAAGGGGAGGATGGTGCCCTAAGGCATAAACTGCTCCTAGTCACAAGCACTGGTCTCTAGCGTCAGTGTCGAGTCTGCGGGTGGCAATGTCACTTCAGAGCGTCATGTCCCACGGCTACGAATGGGGTGTTTGAAAAGAATGGTCCTGTCTGTACCTGAAGTAAAGACACTGGATTATTAACTTCATGTTTGAAAGAAGAACTTGAGTATCTTCCTACTTGTGAAATTCTATTTTAGTTAAATAAATAAAATGAAGCTCTGCTGGGGGCTAGCGTTTGGGAGCAAATGCCTGCACTGCCTTGATGTGAAAACTCATCCCTGTGACAGAGAGTTTGCAATGGAAAAGTTTCTGTCAGCTCCCCTAAGACAAGGGGCAGTCAGTGGAGTCCAGGTTGTAAATGGACATCAAAAAGCTTACAGCAAGTGTAGTTTTGCGCTAAGTGGAAATCTTACAGCATAATTCGCCTAAGGCTAAGGCTACCCAACGCTCCTGAGACTGTTCATCTGAAGGACTTCTCTGCGTCTAAGAGACGGCTGCTGTAAAGGCCTGAGGCAGGAGCCTGTTCTGCCAGACAACTTTTATTTTTTCCTTCTCATAAAAAATTCCCCTGCAGGAAGACCACTGATTTAGGGAGGTGAATTATTAAAATCACCTCACACCTTGCATATAATTATTTGCTAACGCCGTGCTGGTCCTGAGCTCTGCTGTCTTGGGAGTTCTTTGTCTGGAGCTGAACAGAGGAGCTGGCTGCTATACAGCAACATCTTTGCTTTCTGGTACGTTCGGGCATGCTGATGAGCGTACCTGTTGTCAGACAAAACAAAAGCGCTTCAGGCATATTCAGAAGCACTCCAGAAAAATTTAGGCAGGCGGGAGCCTGGGGAGGTCTCTGGTCCACCACGCTGCTCAGAGCAGGGACAGCTTAGAGCAGCTGCTCAAGGCTTCATCCCACTGAGATTTCAGTAGCTCCGGTGACGGAGATCTCGCAGCGTGTTCCAGGGAGATCGAAGTTGCGACAATAACTCATGTCACCTATAGTTTGCTTCTTGAAAGTTCCCCGTCAGCAGTGTTCAGAGTTCACTGAAATCACTGGGATAGACTTCTCTTACTTAAACTTTCTGCCACCGTGTGATAACTTCCGAGAAAATAATTTGTAACGGAAGCTGAATTTTCTTACAGGCGTTGTATCTCTCTAATTAGAGCAAAGAAATTAAAGGCTTTGGGTCACTACCTCTGCCATTCACAACTAATTCCTAGCCTTGACAAAGATGATGATAAGATGTCCGTAAACATAATTAGAACAGTATTAGATGTTTATAGGACAAAGAAAGTAATTTTCATCTGCTGTCTTCTGTTCTTTGCTGTCATTTGCCTGCAGCTCACTTTATCTTTGTTGTGTAGAAAACCTTTGGACTAGAGGCAACAAAAATACATTGATTTTTTTTTTTCTTTCTTTCTCATCAAACATCAGCATAACTATTACGCTAAACATTGAACCAGGCTAAGCCAGGGTAAAACAAATTGTATCACTGCATTAAACCAACATTTTGCTCTATTTGCTTCATCAGGAGGTACTCTGAATGCATGTAGGGAAGTAAAGGACTTCAAAAAGTTACTTTTAGAGAGAAGCCACGTAGACAATAGTAAAGGATCCCTGAGACTGACTGCAAAAGACATTGCGCTTTCCTGCACGACAAACAGCTGCTTTACTGGAATTCTGAGATCTCCAGACACATTTCTGCCTCTGTCCTAATAAAGTGCTGGGTGCGTAAAGGCCTCAACTGTTGTATCAGCCTCTGCACTGAATTACAGGCCTGAGATTTGCCCTCTGTTGAAGACATTGCTCTAAAGAAAGGGATTTTATCCAGTGGTACGTAGTCAGTGTGTCACGCCAACTGTTGGAACAGCATGATTTCGAGACTAGAGGCCAAAAATACATTGATTTTTTTTTTTTTCTTTCTTTCTCATCAAACATCAGCATAACTATTACGCTAAACATTGAACCAGGCTAAGCCAGGGTAAAACAAATTGTATCACTGCATTAAACCAACATTTTGCTCTATTTGCTTCATCAGGAGGTACTCTGAATGCATGTAGGGAAGTAAAGGACTTCAAAAAGTTACTTTTAGAGAGAAGCCACGTAGACAATAGTAAAGGATCCCTGAGACTGACTATCAGCATAACTATTACGCTAAACATTGAACCAGGCTAAGCCAGGGTAAAACAAATTGTATCACTGCATTAAACCAACATTTTGCTCTATTTGCTTCATCAGGAGGTACTCTGAATGCATGTAGGGAAGTAAAGGACTTCAAAAAGTTACTTTTAGAGAGAAGCCACGTAGACAATAGTAAAGGATCCCTGAGACTGACTGCAAAAGACATTGCGCTTTCCTGCACGACAAACAGCTGCTTTACTGGAATTCCGAGATCTCCAGACACATTTCTGCCTCTGTCCTAATAAAGTGCTGGGTGCGTAAAGGCCTCAACTGTTGTATCAGCCTCTGCACTGAATTACAGGCCTGAGATTTGCCCTCTGTTGAAGACATTGCTCTAAAGAAAGGGATTTTATCCAGTGGTACGTAGTCAGTGTGTCACGCCAACTGTTGGAACAGCATGATTTCGAGTGGGTAAATTTAAAGTCTGAAATTCTGGGTGCCGATTCCAAAAAAAATCCCATCTCTGGGAGCGGTGTAGGGAACATGGTTATATGGAAGAAGTACCAGCTGGAAGCCCAGGATTGGCAAGTGTTAGAAGCAAAGTGAGCAGCCTGATAACACAAGAACAGAGCAGAATTGCTCTCTGCTTCCAGTGACTACTCACACCATAAGTCTGGGCTCGACAGGGAATAACTTTTCAGTCCTGTTAACTGTACCTGGCAGTAAAGCTGATCTGCAAAATCTCTTTGGTGGGTGGGTCCCCTTCACGTGCCTCCAAAATGCCATTAGTAGGGGAGATGGAAAATACTTCCAGGTCGTTATGCCTTTCCTGTTCATCTGCAGTGAAGGGAGCAAATATCAAACAGAGCAATGCAAGACCCTTTGTATAAGTTTGTATAGCATGTAGCACTCAAAACGATGCGCCTCCTTGCTAGCCAGCTAATAAATCATGTCTTGCACTGTCAGAGGCTTTCTATGCATGTGGCCAGTTTCTGTTTTCATCCTCTAATCAAGGGGAGTGATCAATGGCCTCCATCAAAATAATAAGGCCCTGATCGTATTTCCTTTGAAGCCCATCTGTTGTTAACATCATTAGGCACAAGCTCAAAGCGAACTCACGAGGAGCTACTGCTTCTCGTTGCCTCTTGGGATTGTATTATAAATGAGCAAAGCGTGTCCACTACTTGTGAGGGTTGTGATTCAATCTTTTGGTTAAATCTGGAGTAACTGCTGAAATCAGTGGAGATGCACCGATGTCAAAAAGAAAAAAAAAGGAAAAAGCACACATAAGTGAGAACAGAAGCAGACCTGATGTTGTGCAGCCAACATCATCTATTGTGCATGCAGTCTTACTAAATAAAAACACTTAATAGTGAAACCGTGTAACAAGGAAATCCAATTGCAAAACCAGAATACCCAGCAAAGCAGTCCAGTAACTTCTACAGCCACTCCTGTTACACAGGAAGACATGTTCAGTCTTGGTCTGTGCAACAAAGCAGGTCTGGAAATCAACCGTGTCGCAGGAGAGCTCCAGAACTGGAACAGTGAGGTATGCAGTCACTGGGACCAGCTGCAAAACAGAGGAAAGGCAAAGGAGACAAACACCCACCTTATTTTTGTAGAGCTTTAATAATACCTGCTACAGCCGGATCATTCTTAACCCCAAGCACTGAATCAAGAGTAGTTGTTCTGTGTTCTTTTGTAATAGAGTCAATTCCCCATTCTACAGCTTTGAGTGAATTAAGTGGTTGCTTGTTTTTCTGTTTTGGGATAGGTTTTCAAACCAGACACTGTGGTCTTAATGAAGAAGGCCAATGGCATCCTGGCCTGTATCAGCAATAGTGTGGCCAGCAGGAGGAGGGAAGTGATCGTGCCCCTGTACTCGGCCCTGGTGAGGCCGCACCTCGAACACTGTGTTCAGTTTTGGGCCCCTCACTACAAGAAGGACGTGGAGGTGCTGGAGCGTGTCCAGAGAAGGGCAACGAGGCTGGTGAGGGGTCTGGAGAACAAGTCCTATGAGGAGCGGCTGAGGGAGCTGGGGAAAAGGAGGCTGAGGGGAGACCTCATCGCTCTCTACAACTACCTGAAA